GAAGAAGAAGAAGAAGAAGAAGAAGAAGAAGAAGAAGAAGAAGAAGAAGAAGAAGAAGAAGAAGAAGAAGAAGAAGAAGAAGAAGAAGAAGAAGAAGAACAGCAACAACAACAACAATAACAACAAAAACAACAACAACAACAACAACAACAACAACAACAACAACAACAACAACAATTAACAGCAACGACAACAATTTCAATAACAAGAACAAGGAGAACAATAACAATATAAACATAACCACCAACGCAACGACCACCACCACCATCAACAACTACAACAAAAACAACATTAACAGTGACAAAACAACGCCACTACAACCAGCATCATCATTAACAACAACCACAACAACAACAACAATGACATTAGCAACAACCACAACAACAACAACAACAAGTGCCCCCCCCCCCCTCCTGGCAGTGCTACTGACTGAATTGTCTTTAGGCCATTCCCAAAGGAGGGATATTAGCATGAACTTCGTTATGCACAGAGGAATTGTACATGTAAATGGGGTGATTTATCAATGTCATGCTCATACTGTGCCGAAAAACGTAGGGGGAACTGCTGCTTTTTCTTTCTTCATCCTTATATCGTCATTTTTTTCTCTACTTCTTTTATATTATGCTTGTCTCTCTCTTGTGAACTGCTATTTCCGTGATACCTTGATAGTCGAAGCAGACTTTGTGCTATTGAGGCCAGAGAGGTGAGCTGAGTGAGCTTGATTCCCCGTCTGGACTTCTCTGTTGACATCCACCCCTTGACGCTCATACCTTGTCACACCTTGTCCACAGTGTTGGGGTCACTACGAAACATGCCCATCTCTGCTCCCCCCCCCCCTTCTTCAGGATCTATCCCAGAGTCTGTCTGCTAACAGTCACCATCATAATCGGGTTGGAGATCCGTAAGACTGGTCCGCACAGGTAAAAACAAATATGGAAGGCTTCACGAATTTGCGTGTCATACACTTGGCGCTCATATTATGACCTTTTTGTTTTAGTTTTAGTAGAGGTTTTACGGCGCTCGCAACTGCATAAGGTCATATGAGCGCCAAGGGGTAGATGTCAACAGAGAAGTCCTTACAGGGATTCAGATTTACTCTGCTCACCTCTCTAGCTTCAACAGAACAAAGTCTGCTTCGACTATCAAGGCACCCCGGAAATAGCGGGTCACAAAAGTGAGACAAACATACAAAAGAAGTAGAGGAAAATGACAATAGTAAGGATTGGGAAAGAAAAAGCAGCAGTTCCCTGTTGTAGTTCAGACACAGTTACGAGCATGACATTGTTGGATCAGCCTATTTACAATTCTACTATGCATTAGAACGAGAAATGTTCCCCCTTAGGGAATGGCCTAAAGACACTTCAGTCAGTGGCATCGCCCCGGGGGATTCATATGACCTTATGCAGTTGCGAGCACCGTAAAACGTTACTAGAACAAACCAACAAAGTCAAGTACCTGTTTGGTCCCGGCAGAAAGGAAATACTCTCTGACTCCTGAGCACCGGGCTATGTTGTGAAGGATTCCAAGAGAACTCCTCACCAGCAATCCTGCTCTCTGCAGGGTGTATGCAAAGACATTTATAATTTCTGTCTGTCTGTCTGACTCTCTCTCTCTCTTTCTCACACTCTCTGTCTCTCTGTCTCTCTCTCTCTCTCTCTCTCTCTCTCTCTCTCTCT